CCACCGCTCACACTCACACTCACCACTGCTAACCCACACACTCACCCTCACCACCGCTCACCCTCACGCTCACCACCGCTTACCCTCACACTCACCCTAACCATTGTTCACCCTCACACTCATCACCGCTCACATTCACACTTACCACCGCTCACACTCACACTCACCCTCACCACCGCTCACACTCACACTCACCACCGCTCACCCTCACACTCACCAACGCTCACACGCACACTCACCCTCACCACCGCTCACACACACACACTCACCACTGCTCACCCACACACTCACCACTGCTCACCCACACACTCACCACCGCTCCCCACCGCTCACACTCACCCTCACACTCACCACTGCTCACCCTCACACTCACCCTCCCCACCGCTCACACTCACCCTCACCACCGCTCACCCTCACACTCACCAACGCTCACCCGCACACTCACCCTCACCACTGCTCACACTCACCACCGCTCACCCTCACCCTCACCACCGCTCACCCTCACACTCAACACCGCTCACCCTCACACTCACCACCGCTCACCCACACACTCACCCTCACCACCGCTCACCCTCACACTCACCACCGCTCACCCTCGCACTCACCACCGCTCACCCACACACTCACCACCGCTCACCCTCACACTCACCACCGCTCACCCTCACCCTCACCACCGCTCACCCTCACACTCACCACCGCTCACACAAACACACACCACTGCTCACCCACACACTGACCACTGCTCACCCACACACTCACCACTGCTCACCCTCACCACCGCTCACACTCACCCTCACACTCACCACTGCTCACCCTCACACTCACCTTTCTTACCGCTCACACTCACCCTCCCCACCGCTTACCCTTACACTCACCAACGCTCACCCGCACACTCACCCTCACCACCGCTCACCCTCACACTCACCACCGCTTACCCTCACACTCACAACCGCTCACCCACACCCTCACCACCGCTCACCCTCACCACGGCTCACACTCACCACCGCTCACACTCACTACCGCTCACCCACACACTCACACTCACCCTCACCACCGCTAACCCACACACTCACCCTAACCACCGCTCACTCACACACTCACCCTAACCACCGCTCACCCACACACTCACCACTTCTCACACTCACACTGACCACCGCTCACACTGACACTCATCACCGCTTACTCACACACTCACCACCGCTCACGCTCACACACACACTCACCACCGCTCACATTCACACTCACCACCGCTCACCACCGCTCACCCACACACTCACCACCGCTCACCCACACACTCACCCTTACACTCACCAACGCTAACCCACACACTCACCCTCACCACCGCTAACCCACACACTCACCCTAACCAGCGATCACCCACCAATCACCACCTCTCACACTCACACACACACTCACCACCGCTCACACTCACCACCGCTCACCCACACACTCACCACCGCTCACACTCACACTCACCACCGCCCACACTCACTCTCACCACCACTCACACTCACACTCACCACTGCTCACCTACACACTCACCACCACTCACACTCACCACCGCTCACACTCACACTCACCACCGCTCACACTCACCACTGCTAACCCACACACTCACCTTCACACTCACCACCGCTAACCCACATACTCACCCCTACCACCGCTCACCCTCACACTCACCACCGCTCACACAAACACTCACCACTGCTCACCCACACACTGACCACCGCTCACACTCACACTCACCCTCACACTCACCCTCACACTCACACACTCACCACCACTCACCCTCACACTCACCACCGCTCATTCACACACTCACCACCGCTCACACTCACCCTCACCACCGCTCACACTCACCACCGCTCACACTCACCACCGCTCACACTCACCACCGCTCACACTCACACTCACCCTCACGCTCACCCTCACACTCACCACCGCTCACCCTCACACTCACCACCGCTCCCACTCACACTCGCCACCGCTCACCCACACACTCGCCACCGCTCACACTCACCTTCACACTCACCCTCACACTCACCTCCGCTCAAACTCACACTCAACCACACATTCAAACTCACCCTCCCACTCACCACCGCTCACACTCACCACCGCTCACACTCACCACCACACAAACTCACCCTCACCACCGCTCACCCTCACGCTCACCACCGCTCACCCTCACAATCACCACCGCTCACACTCACACTTACCACCGCTCACACTCACCCTCACCACCGCTCACACTCACACTCACCACCACTCACACTCACCACCGCTCACCCGCACACTCACCCTCACCACCGCTCTCCCTCACACTTACACTCACCACCGCTCACACCCACACTCACCACCGCTCACCCACACACTCACCACCGCTCACACTCACACTCACCACCGCCCACACTCACTCTCACCACCGCTCACACTCACCATTGCTCACCTACACACTCACCACCACTCACACTCACCACCGCTCACACTCACCTCCGCTAACCCACACACTCACCTTCACACTCACCACCGCTAACCCACACACTCACCCTCACCACCGCTCACCCTCACGCTCACCACCGCTCTCCCGCACACTCACCCTAACCATTGCTCACCCTCACACTCACCACCGCTCACACTCACACTTACCACCACTCACACTCACACTCACCACCGCTCACCCTCACACTCACCAACACTCACTCTCACACTCACTACCGCTCACACTCACACTCACCACCGCTCACACTCGCCACCGCTCACCCACACACTCGCCACCGCTCACACTCACCTTCACACTCACACTCACCACCGCTCAAGCTCACACTCAACCACACATTCAAACTCACCCTCACACTCACCACCGCTCACCCTCACACTCACCACCGCTCACACTCACCACCGCACAAACTCACCACCGCTCACCCCCACGCTCACCACCGCTCACCCTCACACTCACCACCGCTCACACTCACCCTCACCACCGCTCTCCCTCACACTTACACTCACCACCAATCACACCCACACCCACCACCGCTCACCCACACACTCACCACCGCTCACACTCACACTCACCACCGCCCACACTCACTCTCACCACCACTCACACTCACCACTGCTCACCTACACACTCACCACCAATCACACTCACCACCGCTCACACTCACACTCACCACCGCTAACCCACACACTCACCTTCACACTCACCACCGCTAACCCACACACTCACCCTCACCACCGCTCACCCTCACGCTCACCACCGCTCTCCCACACACTCACCCTAACCATTGCTCACCCTCACACTCACCACCGCTCACACTTAACCACCGCTCACACTCACACTCACCCTGACCACCGCTCACCCTCACACTCACCACTGCTCACCCTCGCACTCACCAACGCTCACCCGCACACTCACCCTGACCACCGCTCACCCTCACAATCACCACCGCTTACCCTCACACTCACCACCGCTCACACACACACTCACCACTGCTCACCCACACACTCACCACCGCTCACACTCACCACCGCTCACACTCACCCTCACACTCACCCTCACAATCACCCTCACCACCACTCACTCACCACCGCTCCCCCACACACTCACCACCGCTCCCCCACACACTCACCACCGCTCACACTCACACTCACCCTCACACTCACCACCGCTCACGCTCACTCACACACTCACCCTCACCACCGCTCACACTCACCACCGCTCACACTCAACCTCACACTCGCCACCGCTCACACTCACACTCACCCTCACACTCACCACCGCTCACACTCACCACCGCTCACCCTCACACTCACCCTCACACTCACCACCGCTCACCCGCACACTCACCACCGCTCACCCTCACACTTACCACCGCTCACCCTCACACTGACCACCGCTCACACTCACACTCACCACCGCTCACACTCACCCTCACCACCCCTCACACTCACATTCACCACCGCTCACCCTCACACTCACCACCGCTCACCCGCACACTCACCCTCACCACCACTCACCCTCACACTCACCACCGTTCACACACACCACCGCTCACACTCACCACCGCTCGCCCTCACACTCACCACCGCTCACACTCACACTCACCACCGCTCACACTCACACTCGCCACCGCTCACCCACACACTCGCCACCGCTCACACTCACCTTCACTCTCACCCTCACATTAACCACCGCTCAAACTCACACTCAACCACACATTCAAACTCACCCTCACACTCACCCTCACACTCACCATCACTGACCCTCACACTCACCACCGCTCACACTCACCACTGCACACACTCATCCTCACCACCGCTCACCCTCACACTCACCACTGCTCACACTCACACTCACCACCGCTCACACTCACCCTCACCACCGCTCACCCTCACCCTCACACTCACCACCGCTAACACACACCACCGGTCACCCTCACACACACCACCGGTCACCCTCACACTCACCACCGCTCACCCTCACACTCACCACCGCTCACACTCACACTCACCCTCACACTCACCACCGCTCACCCTTACACTCACCACCGCTCATTCACACACTCATCACCGCTCACACTCTCCCTCACCACCGCTCACACTCACCACCGCTCACACTCACACTCACCACCGCTCACACTCACACTCACCACCGCTCACCCTCACACTCACCCTCACCACCGCTCACCCTCACACTCACCACCGCTCACCCTCACACCCACCACCGCTCACCCACACACTCACCACCGCTCACACTCACCACCGCTCACCCTCACACTCACCACCGCTCACCCTCACACTCACCACCGCTCACACTCACACTCACCACCACTCACCCTCACCACCGCTCACGCTGACCCTCACACTCGTGCTCACCATATCGGGCTTAATTTAAACGAGGTTGCATCTGCAACGGCGACTCAGACAATATTTATGTACCCGGCACACCGCCTCCGGTTTCCCTCTGATCTTCGTCCGTGGCCACTCTTTGGGCCTCGCAGCCAATCAACGCCGGCGCTCAGAACGAGGCCTTCAGCGCCAGCGACCAATCGGAGACGTCCGACGAGAGTGGCGACGACACGGCCGTGGGTGCCGGCGTCGAGGAGGTGAAGGCCACGAGGGGGGCGCGCGGTGCCCACGAGGTCGTCGCCACCGTGGAAACCAAATGGGCCCCGCCGACGAAGCGGGAGCTCGCGGGGGGAACCCTGGGGCCCGACGGGGAGGGGGGCGGCGCGGGGCCTTGGCGCCAGGCCTGGCTCGCGGTGGAGCTGGAGGGCGTGCCGAGGGTGACGGTCGACACCGTCATTCTGGATTTCTCCTCCGTCACGTACCTGGACACCGTGGCAGTCAACACCCTCACCACGGTATTCACGATGGTACCGGGGCACGGTGCCACCTGACGCTGGGTCACTGTACCACCTCACGCTGGGTCACTGTACCACCTCACACTGGGTCACTGTACCACCTCACGCTGGGTCACTGTACCACCTCACACTGGGTCACTGTACCACCTCACACTGGGTCACTGTACCACCTCACGCTGGGTCACTGTACCACCTCACACTGGGTCACTGTACCACCTCACGCTGGGTCACTGTATCACCTCACACTGGGTCACTGTACCACCTCACGCTGGGTCACTGTACCACCTCACACTGGGTCACTGTACCACCTCACGCTGGGTCACTGTATCACCTCACACTGGGTCACTGTACCACCTCACACTGGGTCACTGTACCACCTCACACTGGGTCACTGTACCACCTCACACTGGGTCACTGTACCACCTCACACTGGGTCACTGTACCACCTCACACTGGGTCACTGTATCACCTCACACTGGGTCACTGTACCACCTCACGCTGGGTCACTGTACCACCTCACGCTGGGTCACTGTACCACCTCACACTGGGTCACTGTACCACCTCACGCTGGGTCACTGTACCACCTCACGCTGGGTCACTGTACCACCTCACACTGGGTCACTGTATCACCTCACACTGGGTCACGGTGCCACCTGACGCTGGGCCATGGCAAGAGGGTAAAATGTGAAGGTGTAGCCTTGCAATTTCTCGCTTACACCACTGCTGGCAGAAGGACATCCACTGCAGGGAGCTCGAGAGAGCCCCTCTGGAGGGTGCTGTAGGGTTGTTCTACACACTGGCGAAAGGTTTTATAAGTAGTCCGAGTAGCCACAATTGATCCCACTGCACGTGACCTGCCGATCAACTGTGGCGAGCCCCATGGATACTGCTGTGAGGACGGAGTGTGGATGTTTGTATGTTCTCTCCCCCTGTTTTGCGTGGGCTTTCTCAGATTTCTTCCCAAAGCTGAAACACCCCACACACAATGTCACACCGGTCCTCATAAAAAAAAAATCTAATATCTAAACTAGAATCAGCAAAATGGATCTGTTTATCAACCTTAATTGAAAGGTTGATTGAGTCGATTGAGACTGAATAAATCTGAATCGAGGAACCGTCCGACCAAGTCCAGGGCACGAGGAGTCAAATGTTTCCTTTGGAACACTGAGCCAGCCAATCGCTGCTATACGGCAACAGACTGTGAAGCTTCGTGTTCAGCCGCTCGTATAAACATTCGTCTTGCAACTGCTCCGATATCACGAGAACCGATTTTGACTCGCACCACCACCATCACCCCGCAAGGTTTTCTGACTGGCGGTTGCGAATCACGGGAAATAAAATAATTACTGCGAATAATTTGCTTTCTTTTTTGTTATACCGCGCACCACATCGGTGTGTACCGCCCAATACGTTCATTTGCCAAACCACATCGCAACGCTGAAAGATGACGCTGCGAATCACTCGATTGGGATCACACGCAGCAGCAGCAACACCCCCCCCCCGCTACTGCGAAAATAATCTTGAGACTCGGTGACATTTTCCTGGATAAACGAGCAGATTAATATAATATAACAATAACTATAACGTGTTCTTTAAACAACAACAATAACGTGTCTCCTCAGATGACCGGAGACTATCAGAACGTGGGCGTAAGCTTCCTCTTCGCTGGCTGTGATGGTAAGGGAACCTCTCCTTCTCTTCTCCGATTCTCTTCTTCTCCTGATATTTTCTCCCCTCTTCTTTTCTTCTCTCCTCTTCTCTTTCCTTATTCTCCTCTTCTCTTTCCTTATTCTCCTCTATCTCTTTCTTCTGCCCGAGCGCACTGCCCCCTCACGCGCCATGCTCACCATCAGCACTTGTCCCTGCAGTCTGTGTGTGCTACACGGGGGGACCTTTGTCTGCGTCGTGGTGTCCGCAGACGCGGTGCTGGCGCGCCTCGAGAGGGCCGGCTTCTTCGCGGGTGCCGTGGCGCGGAGCAGCTTCTTCCCGACGACGCGTGATGCGGCGCTATGGCACGCGGCGCACGCCGCCCCTCCTGTCTCACTCGCTCCACGCGCCTCTCCCCGTGCCTCTGTGAGTCCCCTCTGCGAGTTCGGTCTCACGGCCGCCACGTTCAGCGGCAGTGTTTCCACAGTTACGAGCCGCCCCAAACGCCAACGTGGTTGTTTCAAAAAGGGCTCCCTGGCACGAGGCTCCGCAAGCTCCTCCCCCTCTGGCCTCCCACCTACGTTCCTGCGGTCCCCAATCGACGTGTAGCGTGTCGGGAGCCCTGCGAGAGTCAAGTCAAAATCGCGAGCGTGGTCGGTTTCACGCCATTCTTCTCTCACGAGCTGATCACGCGGGCTCCATGTCCCACAGACGGCTATAGGAAGCAGTCGATTTGCAGTCAGGGGCAGATTTCGCTGTGCGTTCACCCAGCACACGTGACCTTGCCGTTCTTCACGTGACATCACGGGATCTTTAACGTCAGCTGCAAAAGCAGTCGGCGCGCCCGCAGCGTTAGCCGAGGCGGCTGCGGGTTCTCAAACCACGAACCTCGGCGGCGAGGGCGACTCACCGGCCCCGGCGCGGTTCATGTTCGATACCTCGCCACGTGCTCGCTGCTGACAGTGCCGCGCGGCACCATCGTGTGTTGCAGGTCACGGAA